CTCCTCCACCTCCTCTTCCTCCTCCCCCTCATCCTCCTCCTCCTCCTCTTCTTTATCTTCGTTATCCTCCTCCTCCTCCTCCTCCTCATCATCCTCATCATCAGCAGCAGCAGCACCATCGTCTTAATCAGCCTCATCATCCTCATCATCCTCATCATCATCATCATCATCATCATCATCATCATCATCATCATCAGCATCATCAGCATCATCATCATCATCCTCATCATCATGACGATCAGCAGCATCAGCATCACCATCATCACCTGAACCATCATCACCGGCATCGCCATCCTCATCAGCATCATCAGAAGCAGCAGTATCAGCATCAGCATCATCATCACGATCAGCAGCATCAGCATCAGCATCACCTGAACCATCATCACCGACATCACCATCATCATCAGCATCATCAGAAGCATCAGTATCAGCATCAGCAACATCATAATGTGCAGCATCATCATCATCAATATAATCATCATCAGCAGCAGCAGAAGAAGCAGCATCGTCGTCATTCCCAGCATCATCATCAGCAGCAGCATCATCATCGTCATCACCATTATCATTACCGTCACCATCACCGTCATCCTCATCATCATCATCCTCATCATCATCATCACCATCATCATCACCATCAGCATCATCATCATCATCATCCTCATCATCATCATCATCAGCAGCATCATCATCATCACCATTAGCCTCAACGTCGTCGTCTCCAGCATCATTATCAGCAGCATCACCCTTATCCCCATCGTCGTCATCATCAGCATCATCAGCGGCATCATCATAATTATCATCATCAGCATCATCATCCCCATCACCCTCATCATCATCCGCATCATCATAATCATCAGTATCATCATCATCACCATCACCATCACCATCATCATCAGCATCATTATCGCCATCACCAGCATCATCCTCATCAGCATCCTCATCATCATCATCAGCATCCTTGCCATCCTCATTATCATTCTCATCTTCCTCAGCAGCATCATCCTCGCCGTCATCATCAACATCACCGTCAGCCTCATCGTCATCATCAGCATCTGCAATATCCGATCCCATCGAGCAGTCGCCGCCAAAAACGCTGGGATGGCACACTGGCGGGACTCGCCGCAGGCAGCTGCATAACCAAGACGCCTTCCAACAGTGTGAGCGTTGACTCAGCGGGGTGCGCGAACTGCGTGGCGCTCACCAGCTGGATCTGGCCTTGCCCCAAGCCTGAAATGCAAACCGTCTCTGAATCGATACCACCCGCAAGGGTAAAGCACGTGCCCACCGAGAGAAGCGCCTCTGTCTCTGCCGGAATGTCTATTGACGTGGCCCCTGCCTCAAGTGGGCCACACGTGATAACCAGCGTCGTGTTCGAAGACGCGAAGACGCCTTCCAACAGTGTGAGCGTTGACTCAGCGGGGTGCGCGAATAGCGTGGGGTGCACTAGCTGCATCTGGTCCTGCCCCAAGCCTGAAGTGCAAACCGTCTCTGAGTTGGTCCCACCCGCAAGAGTAAAGCACATGCCCACCGAGACGAGCGCCCCAGTCCCTGCCGGAATGTCTATTGACGTGGCCCCTGCCTCAAGTGGACCACACGTAATAACCAATCCATCCAACTGTGTAAGGGTTGACTCAGCCGGGTGCGCAAACTTCGTGGGGCTCACCAGCTGCATCTGGCCCTGCCCCAAGCCTGAAATGCAAACCGTCTCTGAGTTGTTCCCACCCGCAAGGGTCAAGCACGTGCCCACCGAGACGAGCGCCTCAGCCCCTGCCGGAATGTCTATTGACGTGGCCCCTGCCTCAAGTGGACCACACGTGATAGCCAGCGTCGTGTTCGAAGACGCGAAGACGCCTTCCAACTGTGTAAGCGTTGACTCAGCGGGGTACGCGAGCTGCGTGGGGCTCACTAGCTGCATCTGGTCCTGCCCCAAGCCTGAAATGCAAACCGTCTCTGAGTTGTTCCCACCCGCAAGGGTAAAGCACATGCCCACCGAGACGAGCGCCCCAGTCCCTGCCGGAATGTCTATTGACGTGGCCCCTGCCACAAGGGGGCCACACGTAATAACCAATCCATCCAACTGTGTGAGCGTTGACTCAGCGGGGTGCGCGAACTGCGTGGGGCTCACCAGCTGTATCTGGCCCTGCCCCGAGCCTGAAATGCACACCGTCTCTGAGTTACTACCACCCGCAAGAGCAAAGCACGTGCCCACCGAGACGAGCGCCTCAGCTCCTGCCGGAATATCTATTGACGTGGCCCCTGCCTCAAGTGGACCACACGTGATAGCAAGCGTCGTGTTCGAAGACGCGAAGACGCCTTCCAACAGTGTGAGCGTTGACTCAGCGGGGTGCGCGAACTGCGTGGGGCTCACCAGCTGCATCTGGTCCTGCCCCAAGCCTGAAATGCAAACCGTCTCTGAGTTGGTCCCACCCGCAAGAGTAAAGCACATGCCCACCGAGACGAGCGCCCCAGTCCCTGCCGGAATGTCTATTGACGTGGCCCCTGCCTCAAGTGGACCACACGTAATTCGCCGGCCCAACGGGCCAGAGGCGTGCTAAGATCTCCGGTAACTGCTAAATAATACTTCTACTTCGCGCGCGCGGGGCGGCCCCTGGGGGTCCCCGGACGAAAAGTACCCCGGGCGATCCCCGGCAGACTCGGGTCAGAGATGGTTTTCCTCCTGGGCGCCGCCCCCGTGGCCCTCCAGAGAGCCCCAAGAAGGGCCACGAGGCCGCCAAGAGCCCTCCAAGATGGTTCAAGAGTGCTCCGAGATGCCACACGATCGTTCCAAGACGCCCAAGATGGCCCCCAGACGCCCCACCGCGCAAAGAGCGAATCGCACCCGCCCGCGCAAGGCAGCCAGGCGGCGGGGGGGGGGGGACGCTACGAAGACATTCACACGGAAACACCCGCCGGCGAGTCTCGCCTGTGCCTGCCATCGGGGTGGCCCGTCCGTTCGGAGCAGGGCGAGCTGAGACAGCGGCAGCTCAAACGTGATACCCAGACCCCTTCCGGGAGCCAGACGCACCAGCTTTGCGAGCTGCGTCTGGCCGTGGCGACGAGGGGGCCCCCGGAAGGCCGACTGGCGCTATCTCCACTCGCCCTCCTCGGAATGGGGGTGCTGTGCGCACCGCCACCATCCCCTTCGGGCCCAGAGTCGGAGGCCTGGGAACGGGCACCAACAACATGATCGACCCACGAAGCCGGAAAGGAATATAGAACTGTAACACATGCAGCGTTTTCAAAGACACCTGATTGGGTGACGGGCAAATGCAATGCTGAATGTATCGATCTCGATGTACCCTGCCGAGGGCTGTGCTGTGCTGCACCGTGCTGAATTGCGAGTGCCATGCAGCGATGTGACTCTATAGCCTCGTGGATCGAGTCCTCCTTTACATCCGAGTCCTGACCGAACTGATCTGGATCTCAAGCTCGAGCTGCCCGAACACATAGTAGCTGCCCCAAAGCTAATGGACAGGGGACCATGCCAGGAGGACGCGACGCGGAACGTCTCAAGGGACGCGCCAAGCGACGTGCCAAGGGACGTGCCATGGGGACGCACCGCGGGACGTGCCAAGGGGACGCGCTACTGAACGTGCTGGGGACAAGCGTTTCGCTCGAGACCTCCTGCCAACATCCTCAGAATTCCTACGCGCGGGACGCTGCACGCGCGAGACATCCTCGGAATTCTTGCGAGCGGGACGTGAAAACAAGCTTTTCGCTTGAGACATCCTCTGAATTCTGGACCCCCACGAGGCACCCCACGAGGCCGCCGCTCGAGACATCCCCCAATTTTGTAAAACCAGCGTTTCGCCGAACGTCTTCAACAAAATTATGCAATGACAATGCATTGTTCGCTGTCGAGCGAGCCTGCCAAAAATTGAGAGAAAAACTCCTAGGCAGAAAAAAAGAAATGTAGTCGAGACATCCTCGAAATTCCTGCGCGCGGGACGCGGCACGCGCGAGACATCATCGGAATTCCTGCGCGCGGGGCGCTTTTCCGTGTCGCGGTCGGCTCTGCAAAACCAGCGTTTCGCTCGAGACATCCTCAACAAATTCTGAAAACAAGCGTTTCGCTCGAGACATCCCCAACTCTGCAAAACCAGCGTTCCGCTCGAGACATCCTCAACAAATTCTGAAAAACAAGCGTTTCGCTAGGGACATCCTCAATTTTTAATTCGCCGGCCCTACGCGACCTCGTTATTTATCGCAAAAGAAATTCGCCGGCCCTACAGCCGTCAAAACCGGGGGGAAACAAACTAAAAGAGAACCCTGGGCCTTTGCCCTTTCCGGGAAAAACACAAGGGAGGGACTCCACCGGGAGAAAATGATCCTAGATTTCGACCCTGGTGGTCAGATGTCGGCCACCCGGGAAGCCCGAATATTCCCGCCATCACCGAGATCGGGATCATCTTCCTTCGGTGGAAGCGCACCGTCGATACAGGTATTGGTGCCAACACCTTCGAGCAGGAACGTTTGCATAGCGTGTCGCTGTCGCTCCGCTACGCGAGGCAGGAGGTCGGGAAAGGCTCGGGACGTTGACGATCAGAGACTGGGAAGCGGATAGCGTGTCGCGCCGAGGAGCGGTGGACCAACCGGCGGAATCCAGGGTCAGGAAGCCACGGGACCACCAATTGAGGCTTGGCCATGGATAGCACCGCCGCCCCCACCAGATAAGGAATCATCCGTGGTCTGGAGCAGCCTCCTTGGCACATGCCTCAACGAACACCCCCAGAGAATGAATCCGCACCTTCCTGGGCGGGGCGGGGCTATCGGCCCCCTATCGGCGATCAATGGGGAATTGGGGGTCGATGCACCCCCCCCCTATGCCTACCCCCCCTATCGCTGCCCCTGAGGGCGTCTCCCAGATGAGGAACCTTGTCGACGGCAACCTCGCGTTCCGAGCGTCCCAGAAGGCTTCCACGCCTCGTGCTCTTGACATTCTGAGAGTCGTAGGCTTCTGTTCCCGGGCTGGCGCGGTCCCAGTTCCCACGGTCGTGGCTCCGAATTTCCAGGGGACGGTTGTTTTCCCGAGTTCAGGCCGTTTCCGCGGGTCGTGGTTTATTTGGCGCCCCCCACTTCTTCGGCTGCATCTTCGGGGGCGAGCGCGCGGTACCGCCGCACCGCCGGGGGCGGGCCACACCTCGGGGCCTGCCCCGGGTAGCTAGGGGCGAAGCCCTCAGGTCGTTCTGTCTGTGTGGTGGCCCCCCTAGGGGGCCCTGTGTGTCCCATCGCGCCGCGTCTGCATCAAATCCACGTCTCCAAGAATCCACGTCGAATCCGCGTCGAATCCATGTCGAAGACGCGGCGGATACAAACAAATACCGCCACCGATATCTTAGACAGACGAACAATTTCCCGAAGTTGTCATGTAACCAGCTTTGTCTATATTCCGTGGCTGCACCGAAGATCGCCCTTGGGAGGCAACTCCAGGGAGGTCTTCGTAAAAACGGTTCAAGTTCAGGGCTACTAAGCACGATTCAGGGGCCATTAAGCCAGTGTATGTAGGCTGGATTGTTGCCCTGGTGGATGTCAGATTAGCCAGAATCAAGCCGGATCAAGCGTGCCAAAGCCGGAGCGGGCGGTTGGCCACTCTCACTACGGGTATACAAACGCAGATGCCGAATCTGATCTCCCCGGAGCTGCATCCCAGCTCGCCCTCGGGCCAGGACAAAATTGGACTGGGAGGAGGAGGAGGAGGAGGAGGAGGAGGAGGAGGAGGAGGAGGAGGAGGAGGGGAAGGAGGAGGAGGAGGAGGAGGAGAATCAGGAGGAGGAAGTGGAGAAGAAGGATAAATCGGGGATTTCCAAGATCCAGCGGCTGTGGGGGAAGTGTCGAGCGCGGCGGCTGTCTCAGGGAGTTCCGGAACGTTCTGCGAGCATGCGGGGACGCTCTCAGAGCGATATATCCCGATCCTGGGCCTGCCGGAACAGCTCTCTCGGTCTGACCACCGCGAGCCCCCGCTTGGTTCCGTCGGCCCTCGGCGACCCTTCGGAGGCTCTCTCGGGCGGCTTCGGTAGCCTCCTCGGATCTTCAGAGGTTTCCTGGTGGCATCCTCGACGAGTCCCCTGATGCGGACGTTCGGAGGTGCTCGGGGGCTATCGGCGAACCTGCAAGGAGCCTCCAGTGGACTAGGGAAATGATCGGCGGGCTTTCGGAGCTCCTGGATGCCCTTAAGTCGGGCGTGTCCCTCCAAAGGGGGAATATTCAACAATAGTCCTGGCGACTATTTTTGGGGTATTGTGGGGTATGGTTTGAATATGTTTGGAATATGTCGGATTTTCTGTCCAAAATACCCCTGTAGCGGGACAAGCCCCACTTAAGGATGCCCCCGTGCGTTTCCAGGAAGCCTCCCTGGCTTGCCTTGGAACGACGGCCCACCTGGAACTCTGGCGGCCCGCTCCACCTTCGTTTGACCAATGCCCCTGACTCTGAGCGCCATGGACTGACTACCTACCAGACCACCCCAACCCAACCCGAAGACCCGAATTTGACCCGAATTTCGGGTTGGGGGGGGGTACGGATACCATGTGTTTTTTCAACGTTCCCCGACCCCCCCCCCCACTGGAAATGGAAGGCAAATTGAGGGCTTCGGGTTGGGTTGGGGTGGTTTGGTGGGTGGTGATGGACGCTCCCGCGCTGGTCGGCGGACGACGACTCCCCAGAAATCTGCTGCTCGATGGTCTTGGCTGGGAGCACGGGAGGCGTTACAATCATCGTGCTTCCATGAGGAGCGCCGCGTAAACAACGAAAGACCATGTCTGGTGACGGCGAACCTCGGCCACGAACAAGTTCCCCGACCTAGATGCAAGGAACGGTCCGAAAACCAGAGTCCCCCATGAGCGCAAAACAGTCCTCATCCTAGCGTACGGTCTGCAAAAATGGTATCGCAACTGCTCGAGCAGCACACAGGCCAGAAGCTCAGCCATCCAGTAGAACTTGGGCCACGTCGGCGTTTTCTCAATTCAAAAAACTGAGGGCGGCGGCGACTCGCTATAAGCGCCCTCGATAACCAGCACGGTAGGCGACGGCGAAGGTGCAGTCGTTGGCGCTGACGTGGGTGCAACAGAAGATGGCAGAAACAGATCGTCTGGCGGCGCGCCGCCATCCGGAGCCTCTGAGGAGCAGCCAGAGCCACGGTGAAAGGTGGTGGGATTCGGCTCCATGTTTATCCCCCTCCTCCTCCTCCTCCTCCTCCTCCTCCTCCTCCTCCTCCTCCTCCTCCTCCTCCTCCTCCTCCTCCTCCTCCTCCTCCTCCTCCTCCTCCTCCCCCTTCACTTCCTTCTCCTCCTCCTCCTCCTCCTCTTCGTCCTCCGCCCTCCTCCTCCTCCTCCTTCGCCCTTCTTCGCCCTGCTCCTCCTCCTCCTCCGCCTCAACATCATCATCATCATCATCATCATCATCATCATCAGCAGCAGCAGCAGCATCATCATCATCATCATCATCATCATCATCATCATCAGCATCATCATCATCAGCATCATCATCATCGTCAGCATCATCATCAGCATCATCATCAGCATCAGCATCAGCATCAGCATCAGCATCAGCATCAGCATCAGCATCATCATCATCATCATCATCATCATCATCGTCATCATCATCATCATCAGCATCATCATGATCATCATCAGCATCATCATCATCATTGTCTTCATCTTCATGTTCATCTTCATCTTCATCATCAGCAGCATCATCATCCTGCTCATTGCCCCTCTTCTCTCCTCGCGCAGGTCAAATTCCTCGCCCATATCTTTTCCCTGACGCTGCCCCTGTGGGCAGGTTCGAACAAGCTCCGATACCCTCGACTCCCCCACTCAGCCAAAGCTAAGAGCGAAGGATGAGGATATCTCTTTGTTAAAGGGAGCCTGGAAAATAAAGAACTGGAAAAAGAGCAATAATAAGAAAACTAAGAGGAACAGCGACAAGGCGAGAGGTGCACTTCAAGGACCGGGGCGAGAGGAGAGGGGGCCCTCCATCTCCACCACCTCCACCTCCTCCTGATCCTCCTCCTCCTTCGCCTCTTCCTCCTCCTCCTCCTCCTCCTCCTCCTCCTCCTCCTCCTCCTCCTCCTCCTCCTCCTCCCTCCCTCCCTCCCTCCCTCCCTCCCTCCTACCACCCCTCACCCTACCTTGCACATGGCGCCAGGATGGCGCAGTGGGCAGAGGAAACCGAAACCGGATATGCCAGGTAATCAAAAATGGCAGGGCAGGGCATGTACGGCACAGGGCATTTCCCAGCGCAGGCTGGGCGGCAGACGCCCTGTAGTAGAGCCACACAGCGTGCACGGGAGCTGGGGGGGGCACTGGAAGTACCAGCGGAGGCACCAGGCAGGAGACTTTCAGAGGATCGCGCCAGCATGTCCCACAGGGGCCCATGTGCGCAGTGATGCCAAGGGAGTAAGCCCTGAGACCGTCCCCCCCCCCTTGGTTCCCCCTGCCCACTGAGGCTTGAGCAACGGATCTGGCGCCCAGTGTCAGTCGCGCAAACTGACTTGCATCGCGTACCTAGCTTTGTCCTGCCACCAGTCCTGACTGGTGAGGTCCGAACCTGCAGGTTGGCGTCCACGAGGCGCCACTACCTTCGGGACGTGAGTCAGGAAGGCTGGCATGCCTCGTAGAAGAATAGGCGCAGGCCTTGAGGCCCAGAGTAAGTATTCAGATTCCAAGGCTTCGTGCAGCGCAGCCTTGGGGCACCATGCCGCGAGGCTTTGGCCATGCCGCGGGGCTCCAGGACACTGGCCCCGCGGGAGGTGGCTCTTCGGGCAAGCATTTAGCAACGCGGGGGCTTCCCTGGTCCGTCGCTGGCCCTCTCGGCCCAAGTCCCCAGGGCAGTAGATTCAGACCCCCAGCGCAGCGAAGGTCAAAGAGGGGCACCCCGCTCGCGCCATGTTTACCGATGCCCCACTGCGAGGTCTTCGACGCGTCCCTGTCGACGCGCCTCACGCCCGGAACTCTCTTGAGAGCTTGGAACAGTCGCTCGCCCGTCATCGCGCGGGCGAGGCTGAGCTCTGCGAGCCCAGCGCGGGAGATCACGCTGCGCGAGTAGCGCTGCTTCACCGGGCGCGACCAGGGCGCAGCCCGGCGCTGGAAGAGCCGGGCACCGCGAGTTGCAACCATCGGGACAACCACAATCCATCGGGACAACCATCGGGACCATCGGGACAACCACCGGGACAACCATCGGGACAACCATCGGGACAACCACGGGACAACCGCGGGACAACCACGGGACAACCACGGGACAACCACGGGACAACCGCGGGACAACCACGGGACAACCGCGGGACAACCGCGGGACAACCGCGGGACGCGCGCCCGCCGGGGGGCGCGGCGGCCCATTGGGCTCCGCGCGGCCGCTACCAGCGCAGGAACTCGCGCAGCGCCTCGCCCGCGAGCGCGACGCGGTCCGAAACCGAAACCGATGTCCGATGTTCTGGCCGGGGTCACTTCCGCTCGCGCCCCCCAACCTCCAATATTAAGCGCTGCCAGCTGGTGTTTAGTGGAGCCACCTCCAGCATGGAAAATCGATCCCCGCCGCGGCACTAGCGGGCTCCGAGCCGCCAAACCTACGGCACCCCAAAGACTTGCAAGCAGCGAGGGGCCTCCGATTTGCGCGCAGCTATTTGACGCAAGGTCAGCCGCCGCCCCCCTCGCTCCGCCCTGCCTCTCCTCGCCGCGGAGACAGGCAATGCTGCAGTTCGACGCGGCGTATGAGTTCCCCGCACAAGGGCAAGCAGATGCAGGCGACGTGCCCAGTCGCCTGCAGCTCCGCTCTGGTCGAGGACAACCGCTGCCAAAAGGTGTCGACGATCCAACTAGCCTAGTCCATGACGCGCTTTATTCCTAAACTTCTCCCTAGACTGGTGGGGCTAGAGGGCGAGACATAACAAAATCTTGCTGGGCGGCCCCCGGCAGAAAGAAAGCGAGCCCCCATCTGGGCTCGTTCCACAGCGCCGCCCGGGGCAAACCCCCAGTCTACGACCCCCCGGTCGAAGACCAGGGACATCGACCACTGCGCCTGCGGCATGGCGCGCAAGGGCCCAAACTGCTGCGCCCGACCTCTGCAGTTCGGCCGCAGCCTCGCCCCCCCGCCACGCGAGGGCCCCCTGGGCGATGATCATTCGGCCTCTCGCCCGCGAGTCCCCCGCCCGCCCCCCCCCCCAACTTCTGGGCGGGAGTGAGCTGCGCGCGGAAGGGGGAGCCGAGCCCTGGGTCGCGCCCCACGCATCGCGCCCCAGGAGCAACGCGAGCGCCCCAGGGTCTAAGGGCAATGCGAGTCAACGCGCGCGTGCTTCCGCGGCCACGTCGACCCCGCCACCCGTTTTCCCCCGCCGCCCAAAGGAGAGGCGCCTCAGCGGCCTCTGCCACAGGACGCCCCACTGCTTCTACTTTCGCGGCGCAGCCCGAGCTGACGGAGAGCGACGCGCGTCTCTTGCCAGATCAGCTGGCTGAGAAGCCAAGGCATATGGCTCGATGGCATTCCCTCTGTTCCGCTCATGTTTTCTCTCGATGCCCACACATGACCAGGCGCATTTGCCGCGGGCGCGCCTGGGGGGACCAATGGCGTAGAGAGCTCATCATTCCTTGACTGTTTGCCAAGTGCACAGCGAGTTAGCGCTAGCGGACACGCTTAACTCCCAGTGGCGAGAACAGCCATACAACCGGAGACACCAGCAAACTGCACAAACACATCATTCATCCCCCCACCCACCCCTGCCTCCCCCTGCCCCCCCCCCACCGCCCCCCCCCCCCCGCCCTTCCTTCCCCCCCCTTCCTTCCCCCCCCCTCCCCCAGCGTCTCCAGCCCCCTTCCTCTGCAGCCTCTTCCTCCCCCACCCCCCCCCCCCACCCCCCCAAGCATTGCAAAGTTATGGTTGCGTCTCTCTGAGCGCTTCTCGTGGCCATCCGACGCGGCCAGCTTCAGGTGAATGGTTCGGTGGGCCACGGTCCCCACGGCACCGCAGAGCCAAGCGCCACTCTCCACTGGCGGCGGGATGTCCACCAAAACCTCCGCCAACTACTACACGCCGCCGCTCCTGATGGGCGCGCGAGGCCCAGGGCCCCGGAGGCCATCGGAAGTCACCACGCTGAGCCTGGGACTTCCCCGAACAACCAGTTCCACGACATGTTGCTGGAGCGTAACCATAGGTTCTCACAGCCCCGGGCCCCGCGCGGTCACTTCCACCGCCCAGGGCCACGCGCGGTTCTCCGCTGCCGAGCAAACCAAGGCAGCCGCCACGCATTCAGGCCAACGCATCGACTGCACATATTGCTCTAGGGGTTCGATGTTCTCCTGCCAAATTTCTTCGAAAAGCTGGATTTGACGGTCAGCATACTGGATCATTTGCCCTTTCAGGCATGCGTTCGTTGATCTGATCCATACGAATACAAATCATATGTTCGATTGCACTCGCACTCGCTACGACAAGTCGGCCTGCGACGATCCAGCGGCTAGAGAACGCTACTGTCAGTGCGTGATCCAGAATGGGCCCCAACCAAAGTTTGCTATGCACGCGAACGACAATTGTCAGGAGGTCGTCTGCTTCTTGCTGCATTGGTTCCCTCTGGCCAATGCCTGCACGCGCGCGGACCGCGACAGGCAGCCCAGACAGTCTTGCATTTCCCACGACACTCTCACTTCCAGTGGCAAGCGCACCACAATGCTAAGGCACGTTCGGCATCTCAGCAAGCTTTGGTCATAGGTGCGCTTGGGGGTCTGTTCCAAAAATTCGGCCACTCCGACTTGCCATCGGAAACTTGCTCCGGTTTCTTCGGCTGGGCTCTTCTCGCTTCGCGCCCGTTCATGGAGCACGCGTCTGAGTCGAGTGCATCAGCATTGGCAAATGACTTGGAATCTCCGCGCAGAGTTCACAACTGCCCTGGAACAGGTTCCCACAGGATCTAACACCAAGAGACCCCACAAGGGCCCCTCTCATAAGTCCATCACTGCTCCTGGGCTTCCGGGAAGACCTGGACACGCGCAGTTCTCCTGGCCTGCATTGTTATGGCGTTCTTGAAGTCCTTCGAGATTTCGAATCCAACGCCCTGGCGTTGTGGTCGCGCGGCACAGTTGTTCCCGCTGCCTTCGCGACTCGGCTCGCGCAGCGGGACTCC